ATATATATATATATATATATATATATATGGAGTATTTTTATATATAAAATCAGTTACCACCCACAGTTTATTGGAGAGACACTTGGTAAGACAGTGACCATCGAAAACGCTGTGTGTGAATCATCCTGACATTTCCTATCTTGTATTCAATACTTTACTCATGATTTAATTGAGTTCTGTGCAAAGATGCTTGGCTGACAGAAGACAGAAAAGAGGAATGGAAGTTTGTGATCTTCTGCTTCAATTACTTTGGAAGCAATGGATTTTGCATTTACATTTTTTTCTGATTTTGGTACACACGATCTTTCCTCCTCCCACATTAATTTCGTCCCTCATTATTTTACGAGGGTCTTTGAACTTTAAAACTTGCTCCCCCTTTTATCTTGGATGTGGTTGAACAGTATGTGATATGTATTTAAAGCTGGGAGAGCCTTCAGTGATGTAAGAGAGCCTCTCTCTGGAAATAATGAACAACCCTTTAAATACTACATTAATCAGAATGAAGAGAGCTCAGAGAGCTGTCCTACAAACAAACGGAAGGAAGAGCCACAGGAATTAAGAAGAATGATGTACTAATAAAGGTATTTGGAACCATGGATCTGAAGGACATATGTCTGATTTTGATAGAACTACCCTATTAAATAGTATAGTATTTAGTATACAGGCATTATGGATTGATGCTACCTTGCTTTTTAGAATAGAAAGGCAGCATGCAGATCTCTTAGATGCATAAAAATAAACATACAGATGACCTTGATGGCAAAACTGTGGCTCAAGAAACGCTGAGTTTTAAGTTGCTTTACAAACATTGCAAGCATTACAAGAGGTGCTGGTAGGTGCAGTCAGTCTGTCCTCACACTTAAATGTACAACTTGCCCCTGCCCCAATTGCTTAGTGTTACTAATAAAGGCAGAAATAACAAAACACAATATTAAACAAGGGTGTAACCCTATGCCTGTTGAGATAGAAATTTTAAGTCTTCGGACTTGGAATCACTGTACGTTTATCTCTGTTTTCTGAGGAAGAAGTCCTACTTGCCGCAAAGCTGGGGGTGGGTTTAGGGAGATTGACTGGCAAAGCATCTACCCAATCCATTGCTCTGTTGCTTCGCTGTGGCCAAGGCAGGAGCAGCTTAAGTCACACCATGGCCAGGGCTGGAGGAACGGGAGAGTTTCTCCTTTACCCTCCTGTTGACTCCAACACCCCAAGGTGGCACAGCATCTCATGGATTCTGTGAATGCACTGAGGAAACAAGAGAGCAAGAGTGGAAGTAACAGGTTGCCCATTTCCACCTTGGTCCTTTCTGGTGAGACATCAGCACCAGTGAAATGTTCCACCAGCATGCTAGGGGTTTCCCTGCCACCCACAAGCAGACCTCTGTCAGCACAAACATCGCTTCCTAAGGCCCTATCCAACTTGGCCTCCCAGAGAGGTTAGGACTGAACCATCCAATCTTTGTTTAAATCTATAATTTCTCACTCCATTCTACAAAGGATCCATTGCTTAATTTCATTCCCTATCTCTCACCACCCCCTGTCCCCACCTCTATCACATAAACAAACATATATTCATGTTTAGAAGGAAAGACATGAGTTAGAAGTGAAAAGCATTTATACATGAGTGGTAATAGTTTCCTACTGTGTGGGGAGTCAGTGAGTTAAATCATGATCAGCCACCCAGCAAATGTAACTGCCTGCAATTTTTACAGCAGGGGTGAGAAACCAGTGGCCTCTCAGAGGCTAGAACCCCAGCACTTCACCCCTTGCCATGCTGACTGGGATGTCATAGCCCAGAAACATCTGGGGCCACATGTTCCCCATCCTTGGTTTATTTATTTATTTATTTATTTAAAACATTTCTATGCCACCCCATTCGCCGAAGCCTCGGGGCGGCTCACAACATAAAATTAAAATATAATACATTCAAAATATACAACAAATTAACAATATAAAATAAGTCGCCCTGGCCAGATAAAATAAGCAAATAATATTAACAATTAAAATGACGCTTAAATAAAAAGGTCTTCGCCTGGCACCAAAAAACAAATAACGACGGCGCCAGGCAGACCTCTCTGGGGAGCGCATTCCATAGATTGGGCGCCACTGCAGAGAAAGCCCTCCTCCGAGTACCTACCCTCCTAATTTCTTTCACAGAGGGTTCCCGGGGAAGGGCCTCTCCCGCAGATCTCAAGGGGCAGGCAGGCATATATGGATGTAAGCGCTCCTTTAGGTAACCAGGACCCAAGCCATTTAGGGCTTTATAGGTCATCACCAACACCTTGAATTGGGCCTGGACTTCAGTGGGAAGCCAGTGAAGCTGATGGAGGACTGGAGTCATGTGAACATGTGCTTACAGTCTGCGTTTTGCATGATTCAACTGCAGGCATTGTTTCACGATTCCCAAATAACATATGGAAGGCTGGAAGATATGAGATGGCCCTAGATCTGTTATTTCCAGTGCTGAAGTTGCCTCTTCACTCAGCCATTGATTATGAAATTTCAATAAAAATATGGCTTAAAGAAAACCTGTGTGATCTGACTTTCTATCTGCCATAAAGGCAACTAGACCAGGGACAGAGGAGTGGTCTGGATTTTGGTGACTGCTTATCTGAACGGGTCCCAAACCTGCTGTACATACAACAGCACCACTCCATCAGGACAAAATCTGGGCGTATTAGGAGGGTGTTCCACTTGAAGCTGCCCCTTCGTTATCAGCTGGAGCTGGGAATGCTTGACTGCTGAATTCCAGATGGGCAGAAACTCCATCAATAACATATGCAAGAAAATAAATGTGGCATGAAATTGTGAACTTACTTAGTTTTTTCATGCAGTCCCGAAGCCTGGTTTCCAAACTGAGAACTCGCTGGTGTAGTTCCTCATAATCATAGGCACCGATTTCCTCTTGAATCCCAGTGAGGACTGAAGACAGATTTCTAATTTCCTCTTTGAACTGGGTGATTAACTTAGCATCAGTTTTGTACTGTTCCAGAACAGGGATGAGTGGCAGCAGCTCATCCATTTTTTCCTTCAATTCCTGCAGAAATAAAGCAGTGATGTGCAATGCAGGAGTGTAAAAACCTTGTGCCCTCTAAATTCTCTAATAAGTTCCTTTTAGTCTTACTATAAAATCTACTCCTAAAATCCTTATTGAACTTGGTATCAGAACTGTGATTGATGTCCCATGAGAGATTTGAGAAGCTCAAGATGAATGGCTTGAGGGATTGGATAAAATATATGCAGTACTCAGTTTTTATTGTTCTTAAAAATAAATCATTTTCTTTTAAGCCAACCCTTTCCCAGTACTAGAATAAAATAGCTTGTCTTTTATGTTCTAATCAGAAATGGGCCATTTAGTCTACATAACAGTTTATCTAGACTTTCAGTTATGTTGTTGTTACAGAATTAGCTGATCCAGCAGAAGCACCCTTTCTGCTTGACAAAGAAGGTTGCATCCAGATTTAGCCATAACTAGAGCAGACCTACCGAGATCAGTGGGAATAAAGTTAGTCATCATTCAGTGCATTGATTTTAATGGGCTTATTAGTTATGACTAAACCTGGATTAAATCTGTGATTGACATGGCAATAGATTTGGCAACAATTTGATCCTTGTAATAGGATCTCTAGAACAAGGTCCATGATTTTATTAATCTTTTCCTAATTTCAACTGAACATGAAACAGGTTATGCTTATCATTCTGCCAAAGCACAACAGATATAAGAAAGGTAAATTGCGCACAAGGACATTTTGCTGAGGAAAACTTGGTCTTGCTTGTTTTTCTTAATACAGCATTTAGGCAGGGCTGTATAACTCTGCTCCACCACAAGTTTCTATACTTTATTTCCTAGTTCTTCATACCTTTGCCAGTATTTTTAAACATTCCATTTAATCAGTTTTGTCAATCATGTTGCCAGCCTGTCTTCTGTTTTTGAAAAGCAAAATATTTTCTGTTTCTGCTTCATCTGACTAACTGTTTATTTCTTCGAGTTCCTAAATTTCCATATTTCAGACAGAAATCCTGGAGGAGTGTGTTATAAATGTCCATCTACCCATGAAGCATTTGGAACTACAACTGATTTTCCATTCAGAATACTCTGTTTTTGGATGCAAAATTAAAATTCTTCAGGGCATGGGTAAGAAACTTGTGGTTCTCTAGATATCCAGCCTACAGTTTACCCCCCAGCAGAGCAATGGTGAAAAAGGCTTGGGGGTTGTAGGCCAGGCAACTGGAGAACACAATTTGCCCACTCCTATATTAGAAAAAAGGCCTTTTCGGTAGTTTCCTAGTATGCTCAAGAAGGTAGCTCTGTCAACATCTCTCTTAAAACTCTACCAACAGTAACATTTAGAATTCCATTCAGAATTAAACAAATGGGAAGTTTTTCGTATTAGGATGCTTGAGACAGACAGACAGACAGACAGACAGAGAACAGGAAACAATTATTGTAATGCAGTTGCCACCAAAGTGAAGTTTTGAGAAGTTGAAGATACTTGCTTGGTAGACCATCTTAAGAAATTCAAAGGAGTAAAAAAGAATTTGTATATAATTAGCTACATTTCTCACCCATCCTTAATTTATTCTATCCCTGATGTGACCCAAACTGTGTTTCCACTAAAGCAAAATGTTGAGGGAAGTGCCCAGGCTCCTGCTGAGGAGAAATAGTGGAGGGCTTTTAAGAGAATCTAAAATAAGAATTTCCAGAAGGCTGACTTCTCAGTGAGAGAGGAGAGCAGAGAACTCTTCCCATATTTATTACATTATGAAAAGATCTTGGCATTCAAGCACCCAGTGAGAAAATGGAACAGGCAGTTCTTATGAGCAAGAAGGGAATGCACAGGACTCCAAAGAACCTCAAAATCCACCCATTGCTCTCAGGGCTGGCCCAGTCATTAGACAGAGTGAGGCAGCAGATTCTGCAACATGGGAAATGGCAATGAGACATGGGAGAAAAAGCAGTGCATGCCATTAGTTTCTTCATCATCTAAGCTATAGATTATTTACTTATTTATTATTACAATTTGTATGCACCCCACTAGCTGTATCTGGACTCTCTGTGTGTCTCAAAATACATAAAATCACATAACATTCTAAGGGCAATAACATTAACTCAATATGTTCAAAACATTTCAACAACATAATCTAAATATACAATATATTGAAGTTAGAATATTATATTAAACAGACTAAAATGATTTAAATCAAAATAGGGTCAATTTAAAACCAAATTACCATTAAAATCAATTGATAAAATAGCCAGAGAAAAGGTAAGTTTTTACCTGGTGCATAAATGCTAGCAGTGATGGTGCCAGGCACACCCCTCTGGGGAGCCTATTTCAAAGGTGGGTGCTACCACTGAGAAGACCCTTCCCCTGGCCAGCATCCCCCTCACCTCCCTAGGGGATGGCTCCATAAGAAGGATCTCCTCGCTCAATCTCAATGGATGGGTTAGCATCTATGAAGAGTCCAGTGGCTTCTTCTGTGCCCTAACCCCCTCTGCACTCTATGATTCCCCCAGAGTAGCTTCAAAATGGCCACCCCATGCTTAGTGTGCTAATTACTGCATTAGAATTACTGCATGCTATGGAGTGCTAAGAGGAGCAAAATTTGCTTGTTTTGAAGCTAATTCTCACCCAGACAGTGCTCTGTAGCTGCTATTCCACCTCTATAACATTACATTTTAAATCTTAATATTTTAAAATTGCTATAATGATGGTCAGGTGTTTCCCATCTCTGTCCTGTGCTACCCTGTTGCCCTCAGATTGGCACAGAATGCTGTCCCATCACCAGGATGGAAAATTCAACTACCAGTCTGTTGGTTTTATTGCATGGAATAGGGGCTTGCAGTGCCACCTTGTTCTTTGCTTCAGGCAGCCAAATGTCAGGCTGCAAGAGGGAGTCTTCAGCAAGTGGGTAGCGGTGGCAGGAAATCCCAGGCCACGCCATTAAGGGTGCAATCCTACTCCAGTTTGGACAGAGAAAAGCCTTCCAGCCCCAGCATCCCCTGGCCAGGACTATGCCTTCAGCGGGTTCGTTCACAGAACTGAAGCCAAATTATTTCTGTGGACCTCAGCAAGAATGAATAATACCAGGTGCTTTGTTAATATGGATGGACCGCAATGTATGGCCATCATTTATTGTGCACTCCTTCTTAGGAAAGATTCACTTCATCGTGTGCTACCTGCTAACCATGAAGTTTTACTCCTGATGATGAAAAAAGTGTGCTTGTGATGATGACAGAAAGGAGCAGATGTTGTAAAATCAGATTTATGTTCATTGAAGAGCTTTATTCCTGGAGGGGCTTTGTTAACATAGCAATGTATTATGCAATGAGGGTGGTGACAATGTTTTAATAAAAGGCAAATTTAAATTAATTCTATTTACCACTTTACCTTAATGAAATTTGTGTATTTAAAAAAAAATCAGCTGGGACAGATTAACTCCAGAGGGGGAAAGAGAAATCCATAGGCAATATCAAAATACATGTATTACACATCTGTAATTTAAATAGATGGAAATTGCATTGTTAAATTACACGCGGAAATGTTATTACCATAAATGCATTAGACTAACCCGAGTTCCTTTTGCAGCTCTTCTGTGTAATTTTATACTCATGAGAACAAAAATCCATTTATAGTGGCTGCCCAGAAATCTTTGAACAAGAGCAGTATCGAAAGGATGAATTGAGGGAATGTTTTATTAGACACCGCACCATAAAGTCACACAGACCTTTGCAAAATGGACATTAAATTTGCTTTCTGTTCCAGGGATCTTAATTTATGGATTCAATGCCCCAACTACATAAGTCAATGGGATTCTTTTCAGTGTTGGTTTCAATTTACTTGCATGACTTCGTATAGGCAAAAGTAAAGAATTATAGTTTTGTATCTAAGCTCTCCAACACCCTTTCTGTACTTAATTTGGCAAATGTATTTGCAGTTGTTATTCCTGTAACAATGTGTCAGATTTGGACAGTGTACATACATGAACACACAACTTGAACCCGTGTTCATGTGGCGGGGGTCTGTTTGGGTCAGGGTTCCCAAATGGGTGTACACAGTGTTTGTGGTGCTTTTTGTGTATGCTACCAGTATACACATATGTTGTGCATATATATATATGTTGTGCATTCATCGTGGGCAAGGGGATGGACAGTGGGGTTGTACTTTTTTGTAGATTCTTCCCTCCATCTAAACATGCATCGGATTGCAGCATCATCAGTGGATTATAATCCCCATCCTTGATAATTGGTCACATTGGCTGGAAAATATGAGGGTCGCAGCCTTAAACATCTGGAGGGCTCCACGTTGAGGAAGGGAGGCATAAAGTGTGAGTAGCGTACTATCGGGGAGGGGGCTTCTCAGTGGTGGGACCCTGTTTATGGAATCAGCTCTCTGGAGTGATATGCCTGATCCCCCATTACGCATGTTTCAGTGCCAGGTATAAAACTTTGAATGTTCATGCCATTTTAATTGTCGAATATATTATCTGGTTTTATATTAGTTTTGAAGACTGTTATTGGTACATGTGGAATAGCTGTTTAATGGATTGTTAACTATTATTATATGCTGTTTTGTTTATTGTTGATTTGGATCTGACTGTTGCATTTTACTGACAGGCATGTTTGTTCTAAATCTGTTTTTAAACTGAATGTCAGATTGCATGTTTTATTTGAAATTATAGTCCTAAAAAACACAGAAAAACTAAAAACAACATCAATCATCAAAAACATCAGGCCTGCTGGGTCAGCCCCCACACCCTTCTTTTTCCATTTATGATAACTTAAAAACATATTTAAATCTATATGAAGTCTTGTTTCTCTAGCCAACAATAAAAAGAGTCCCAAGTTTGATAGAAGTAGATTGCATGTTGTTTTAAACAGAATCCTGTACACCATTCCGAGAGTGTTGTGCTAATCGAATGGTATAGACATGCCTACGTAACTAAACAAACAAAGCGATACATAAATTCGTGTTTAGAGGAGAACAGGGGCCATGGCATCAGACAGTAAGACTAGCACTGGGTTTAAAAATAAAA